CTTGTTATGGGCCAGACCCTTTTTACCTCACCAAATGGTGACAGAGGGAGCACATCATCGGTGTCCTTTTGACATTCTCAGCTTTAAAGTTTTCTATCACCACCTATTGTGACATGTTCACCACAGCCCCATATGGTAAGTAGACAAGGTGCTGGAGCAGGAGAATTCATGGCATGTTCTGTACCTAGAGAGGGAAGCGGGAATCGACAGGCAGCACAGGATGAACAGGAGCCGAGCTCCCATCTCTCCTAGGTGTCAGCAATACCCTGTACACGTTTCTATCATCGTCTGGACTCAGAATGGAAAGAGCAAAAAATTATAAGGGAAGTAACTGATTATTTCAATGCTTCATTTTTTCCCATTGTAGAACAATATCTATCATCGTTCAGATTTTACTATTGTTAATATTAACCATCTTTCTTCATAGCCAGTAGATTTTATTATACATTTTAAAGGAATGTGTTTAATATGCCTATAAAGGAAATTATTTTATATTTTAGTGTATATGTTTGTATTCCCTTAGATCATTGTTAACTAATATATTGTGATAGTAGTTGGCAAGAAGTAAGGTGGAAATACAAATATAAAATACATGCATTTCTTGCTCTTAAAGAGCTGTAATCTGGGGAAGAAATCAGACCTAAGAAATAAACAAAATGGAAAATGAACTTGGCCTTAAAAACATTGAAAGTGACTCAGAACCGTTCTCATGTTGTTCCTTCTGAATTATCTGGAAGACAAAATCAATAAATGTGGGTTTAGTATAGAGATTATTTTTTGAAAATTAAAGAGCAATTTGTTTTATACGATATACCTATCATCTCATATGAAAAAATATTTTACTACCTTTTCCTACTTACCATAATATGTTTTAAAGTATTATGACTGTGTTTTAGTATATAACATTATATGCTCTCAGTTTATAGCTAAAACTGCTTAAATATTAATAGGTCTATTAACAATAGGCTGTGGAATTTGCAGTAGTTAATTTTCTTTATTTTTTCTTCTCTAATGTATGATGACAGTTATGGTACACATAGTTACATAAAATTAAGAATGGGGAAGTCAAACTATTTGATTAAATTATGTTTTGTTAAAATTTCATATCATAATGCTTTTTTTATTGGTTTTGTTTTATTTTGATTGTTGACAGATGTCCCCCATTTGCCACCCCTTTTGCCCCCTTTGTAATACTTGTTTTTCAACAAAGATGGATATATCTAATCTTTACTCTGATTCTTTGATACTACCTGGGTGTCTCCAGCAATTCAGTTCAGTTGTAACACTAACACCACAGGTTAAGGACTCAGTCCCAGAAGACGAAGATGCCGGTCACAAGTCGTAGGTAGCCACCATTAACTGTACTTCTGACCCGCTGGTTATAAATTCAGGTGTCACCACAACTCCCTCCTCACATTTGATAATTCATTAGAAAAACTCTTAGAACTCAGGAAAGTGCTTTACTTACTACTACTGATTTATTATAAGGATAAAACTCAGGAATAAGCCGCCACATGGAAGCAAGGTGTTGGAGGGAGGGTACAGAGCTTCCATGCCCTCCCAGGCATGCCACCTTCCCAGCATGTCAGTTGTTCACCGGCACAGAAGCTCTACCAGTCTCTTTGTTCAAGAGTTTTTATAACCCAGTCTTCACCCACTTTCCTCTCCTGAGGGGTATGGCTGAAAGTTTCCACCCTCTAACCAAGTATTTGTTCTTCTGGTAACCAGTCCCATCCACACAATATTTCAGGGTCCCCCTTCCTGAATCAAAATACATTTCTATCACTCAAGAAATTCCAAGTGTTTTAGGAGCTCTGTTCCAGGAATGCAGGACAGAGATCAAATATATATATTTCTTCATTATGTACCCTAGTAACAACAAAATGTGTATTGATAGGATTCTAGGTCTAGCATTCAGGGCTACAGCATTTGCTTTGCACCTGTGTCAGTGGTCTGGCCACAACTTAACTTATTATAATGGCTTCTTTTATAGCTAGTATTTTCGTAACTTTAGAAGACCATCATCACTAGCTCAGTCCTTCATCTTATAAAAACTTCCTAGTTTTTAGTACACAAAGTGGTTATACTTCAAAAGTTCATTTGTAATTTTACAGTTTTAAATTTAGAGCATATTTTTTATTGAAACAGTAGAGTGAGTGGTAAATGTTTTCATACTAATCCATTGGCTTTGGCAAGATAGGGAACTATGTCCAAAAGAAAAGAAAAATTGGGAGTGTTTGAGTATTACGGATGAAAAAACTTACGATTTCTTTGAAAGATGGAGACATGAGAACTTTTTCTTTGCTATTTTGTTTAGTGTCAGTCTAATAGATGTCAGAGGAGAGAAATTGTGTTGTGGGACCGAATTATGCCCCCCCCCCCCATTCATATGTTGAAGCCCTAACCCCTTTGTGACTGTATTTAGAAATAGTGTCTTTTAAAAGAGATAAGTAGATTAAGTGTGGTCTTGAGGCTATAGGTCTTAATCCAATAGAATTGGTGTCCTTACAAGAGGAAGAGACACCAGGCAGGTAAGGTATAGGCACACCCATAGAAAGGCCACAGCAAGAAGTCGGCTATCTACAAGCTAAAGAAAGAGGCCTCAGGAGAAATCATACATGCCAACATCTTGGCCTTCCAGCCTCCAGGACTAATAAAATAAATTTCTGTTGTTTAAACCACCCAATCTGTGGTGTTTTTAATGGCAGCACTAGCAAACTAATAAATCATATTATCTTAGAATAGGACTTCAGCCAGTGCTTCATGGAACATTGGTATCTAGAAAATGTTAATAGAGATTTCTTGAAAGGGATCCTTGGCTTAATAAATTTGGGAGATAATCTGTAATATATTCCGCCCTTAAGGATTTACAATGCATTCATATATTAAACATACTTAGAAGCCTTGAAGTAAAGAAATCTGTTTAATTTTTTTGTCAACTTCAACATTTCCCAAATATATTTGTCTATAGAACCTGTCTCTCTTTTTTGTTAAATGAGTGTGCATTTCCCATCCAGAAGAGGGTGGCTGAGGGGAGAGACATATGCCTTTTCATCTCCCTCTCTATGGTATGGTTTTGTATTTCTGCATATAAGGAACATAGAGAATGCATTCTTAGTAAATCCTCAGCATGAGATATTCACCAATATAACAGCTGAGAAACAGAGCAAGCAAAGAAGGGGAAATGGATGTCTTGTATATAGGATATAGGAGCTCTGGCATGTTATTTTCATTTAACTTTTATTCAGGAAGTTATAATTGATTATCTAAATTTTATATAATGACTTGAATGTTTTTTATTCAGTTTGAAATACTGTATATTTTTATTAATATGAATCTATATTTATAAAGATTATGTCCCTGATAACTTTATTTCTTATTTGCCCAAAAAGTTTTGCAGCAGCATAATAGAGTAGTTAAAATCGGAGGCCGTGGAATCAGCTGCTTGTATGTAAATCCTAACATGTTTTCTCCCTTGGGCAGATTACCTCACCAAATACCAATTTCCTACTCCGAAATAATTGTGATAATAGTACCTAACTACCTTTTGGGGTTGTTGTGAAGCACTTTATATAGTGCCTGTTGGTCAGTATAATTAGTTACTTCTATTCTGAAAAAAGTTACACTATACACAGAAATGGGTAGAACATAAGTTGCCATGCTCCATCATTAAAAAGGATAATGGTTGCTGGTTTTTGTTGTTATTTTAGTTGAGGTGAAATTAACATTAACCATTTTGAAGTGAATAGGTAAGTGGATTTAGTACATCCACAGTGTTATGTAACCATTACTTCTAGTTCCAAAACATTTTCATCACCTTACAATGAAGCCCTGTCCCCATTAAGCAGTGACTCACTATTCCCCTCTCTTCCCAACACCAGGCAACTACCTTCTGTTTTTCTGTCTATAGATTTATCTATTCTGGATATTTCATATAGGTATAATCATAAAATGTGACCATTTGTATCTGGCTGCTTCCACTTAGCATAACATTTTTATCTATGTTGCAGTAGTATCAGTACTTTATTTCTTTTTATAACTAAATAATATTGCATTATACATATATAATCACAATTTGTTTATTTATTCATCTGTTCATGGACAAGTTATTTAAACTTCCTAATACTCAATTTTATTATATATAAAATAATAGAAAAATCAACTCCCTAGCATTATGAACATTATATTATATAATACATGTAAAATACTTAAAAGATTCCTGACAGTGACAGATCAGTTTTGATAAGAATTACCATCCATATCTGTGATTCTTTGAAGAAATCACTGTTTAGTAATAGCTAACCTTAATTATCATCCATCAGGCCTAGGCTAATCTTGAATTCCTCAAAGGGTAAAACTGATGGATCCAGATGAATTGAGGTAAATTCGACACTGAGTGGACACTTACAGTATTTCAGGGAATTGTGTATGTCATTTACTCCTTCACAACATTCCTATTTTATAAGTAGCCTGAGACTTAGTGTTAACTAACTTTTCTAATATACTGTGATCAAGTGGCAGAAGTGGATTCAGTGGTAGGTCTACTGCTTTGCTCTGTTATGATGACTTAGTGTAGAAAACAGATTTAATGAACACAGGACCTTATTTCTTTCTGGAATTTCATACAATACTGGAGTAAGGAAAGATGAAAAGGATGTATATGTGTGTGTGTGTGATATATATGTGACATATAAAACATTGTATACTAATCAGTTCTCTAAGGGAATATTTTGTTGTGATTTATCTGTGCACTAAAACTCTGGTTATTCATTCTATAATAACTTGCACTCACTTTTCTAATTCTTTGTATAATCAGTATTTATAATTCAAGTTTGAATATTAGATTGATTTTTTTTTAGTATATTGAATTGAAAGAATAAATTATAACATCCATTAAATAAAGGTGTATTACTTTTGAGGTCTCCAAGTCCACTATTTTAAATGGTATTATAGAAAATTTTACAATCCGTACATTTAGGTTTCTTTTGTGGTTCTCTTAGATGTAATAAAGGAACAGAATCGAGAGTTACGAGGTACACAGAGGGCTATAAGCAGAGATCGAGCAGCTTTAGAGAAACAAGAAAAACAGCTGGTAAGTAGAACATTAAATTTCAGTTTAACTTTTCAAACAAATTTGGAAATTAGTGTTGGAATAATTATCTAACTGGAAAAAGACAGATGGCAGGTAGTAAGTGATTTGCTTCTCTAAGAAATGGCATTTAATGCCTTTCTGCAATGTCTGCTTACCTTTGTTTATTGTGTCATTCTGCTGACTTTTATCAGGATTCTGTGGATTCTGCTGGTTATAAAATCAAAGTATTCTTCAGTCTGTAAAAGTCATGAATGCCTAGGAAGAAGTATTGTTCAAGACAGAGCCATTTTCTTCTCAGCTAATAACAAAGATAATGTAGTCCTTGAAAACAAGAGAAGGTTACCTGAAAATAATTATGTTCACTTGTAGGTGTCTTACTTGATATTTTAACCTACTTGATATTTTGCTATCATTGTGTCTGTGATAATGAATGTACTTTTACAAATAGATTGGCTATATTTAAATATTTTGTTATGTTTTTAAATATATGTTGCTTAAAATATTTTAATAAACGATTGATGTATAATTGACATGCAATAGACTATATATATTTAAAGCATACAATTTGATACATTTGACATACGTATTAACCAGTGAAACCATACTGCAATCAAGGTAATGAACATATCTTTCGTCCCTAAAAGTTTCTTTCGTCCCTTTGTAGTCCCTCCTACCCATCCCTCAATCAGGCAAACAATGATCTGTCACTGCAGAACTTTATATAAGTAGAATCATAGAATATGAACTCTCTTTTTTTCCATATGGCTTCTTTCACTTATAACTATTTTGAGATTAATCAATATTGTTACATGTATCAGTATTAATTCCTTTTTATTGATGAATGTTATTCTATTGTTTGGATGTTCCACAATGTGTTTTATCCATTCACCAGCCAATAGACATTTGGGTTATTTCCATATTTTAGCTATTTTGAATAAAGTTGCCATAAACATCCAATTGAAGTCTTTGTGTGAGCATATGTTTTCATTTCCCTTGGGTATATTCCTAGGAGTGGGATTGCTGTGTCATAGATTAAATGTATGTTTAACCGTATAAGAGTGCTCAACACTTTTGCAAAATGGCTGTAATGTTTTCTGCACCTACCAGCTACGTATGCAAGTAGCGTTGTGTCACATCCTGGCCAAGAGTGAAGTTAACAGTCTTTTCTCCTTTTAGCCATTCTAGTGGTATATAACAGATTGTCACTTTAAATTGCATTTTCCTAATTGCTAATATGTTCAGCATCTTCCATGTGCTTGTTTGCCTTTTACATATCTCCTTTGCCAAAGGGTCTACTGAAATATTTTACTCATTATTTTTAAAGTTTTGTTGTTGTTGTTTTATAATTTAATTTCTACTATCATTATTTATCCACTCTGTGCCTCTTCCACCTCACCTATCCCCCTCAACCCCCGAAACCACCATACTGTTGTCCATGTCCATGAGTTGTCTCTCTTTTTTTTTTGTTCAATCCCTCTATCCCCCACCTCTCCGAGCCTTCAGCTTGCTCTCTATCTATGAGTCTGTCTTTATTTTGCTTGGTAGTTCAGTTTATTCATTAATTCCACATAAAAGTGAAATCATTATGCCTTCCTCTGACTGGCTTATTTCACTTAGTATAATGTTCTCAGGTCCATCCATGCTGTTGCAAAGGGTAAAACATTCTTCCTTTTTACGACAGTAGTATTCCATCATGTAAATGTACCACAACTTTTTTACCCAGTCATATACTTATGGATACTTGGCTGCTTCCATATCTTGGCTATTGTACATTACGCTGCAATGAACATAGGGGTGTATATATTCTTTCCAATTAATGTTTCTGGTATTGTTGATAAATTCCCAGAAGAGGAATCACTGGGTCTTAAGTATTTCATTGTAAGAATTCTTTATATATTTCAGATACAAGTACTTTATTAAATGTACGTTTTTCAAAAATTCTCCCTAATTCTTGGCCTTGTTTTATATTTTCCTAATAATGTCTTTTGAGGAGCAGATATTTTTATTTTTATCAAGTACAATTTATTATTTTTCTATGATTAGTACTTGCCTAATCCAAAGTCACTAATATTTTCTTTTATGATTTGCCCTGGAAGTGTTATAGTTTTAGTTCATACATTTAGAACTGTGAACCATATTGAATTAAATCACTGTGTTGTCAGGTAAAGGTAGAGGTTCACTTTTACATATGGAAATTCAGTTGTTCCAACATCATTTGTTGATGACATCTTTACCTGTTCAGATACCTTACCATCTTTGTAGGAAAATCAGTTGTCCGAGTACATGTGGGCCGCATTCTGGGCTCTGTGCTATTCCATTGATCTATATGACCATTCTTTTTTTAGTATTATTTTTTCTTATCCTCACCTGAGGACATTTTTACATTCATCCTCAGATAGAGTGAGAGGGAGAGAGGGAGGAAGAAGGAGAGAGAAACAGCAACGTGAGAGAGACACATCAAGTGGTTGCCACCCACACAACTCTAACCAGGCTGGGGACAAACTGCAACCGAGGCACGTGCCCTTAGTGGGAACTGAACCGGGGACTCCCTGGTCCATGGGCTGATGCTCTAACCGCTGAGCGAAACCAGCCAGGGCTATATGACCATTCTTAAGTCAATATAGTCATCCCTTGCCACTTTGCACTTCGACTTTTTGCTCCTTCACTCTATCGCGGTTTTTTCAAATACCCGACTTCAGGCTTTGACTTTCCCAGCTTCACGATAGAGTGAAGCCCTGAAAGTCAAAGCGCGAAGTGGCGGGGGATGACTGTATATAAAGAAAGAATCCTACTTCGCGGAAATTCATTTATCGCGATAGAGTATGGAACTGATTAACCACGATAAATGAAGTTCTATATAGTGTTAACCCTTCAACTTTATACTTCCATTTTCAAAACTGTTTGGGCTGTTTTAGGTGCTTTGCGTTTCCAAATGAACTTTCAAATAAAAGTGTCAGGTTGTACAAAAAAGATCAATCAGATCACGATTGGGGTTGCACTGAATCTGTAAACTAATTTGGGAAGACTTGACATTCTAACAATATTGAGTTACAAACCATGAACATACTGTATCTCTCCATTTATTTAGATCTTTCTGTTTTCTCAGCAGTGTTTGTGGTTGAAATTATATAGATTTATCCCTATTTCGTATATTTGATGCTAGATATTTTGAGAACACATTCAATTTCTGATTTTTTTGTTGAAAGAAATACATTAATTTTTTGTATATTGATCTGGAATCCTATAACTTTTCTAAGTTCACCGTAGTAGCCTTTTTTGTGGATTCTATTAGATTTCTACATAGACAGTCATATCTATGAGTAAACTTTTCATCTTCCTTTCCAATCTTGATGTGTTGTTTTTTTTTTCAGTCTTAAATATAAGTGTGGTGATAGCAGATATCTTCTTAGTTACTGATCTTAGGGGGAAACATTCACGTGTGATATTAAAATTGTAGGATTTTTGTAGATGCCCTTTCTCAGGTTAAGGAAGTTTCTTTTTACCTAGTTTGTTCAGACTTTTTTTGATCAGGAATGAAGTTTTGTCAAATGCTATTTTTATTTTTTGCATCTGTTGAGATGATTATCATGTAGTTTTTCCTTTGTTTGTACTATAGGGAGTTACTTTGACTTTCCTAAGTTCAATCAAGTTTTTGCTCCTGGGATAAATGTCATTGGTGATGGTGTATTTTTTTAATGTTTTTTTTTTTTTTTAATTCGCTGAAATTTTGTCAAGAATACTTGTAATATGTGTTCATGAACATGTTCATTTGTGGTTGTCTATTTGTATAGTGTCTTTATTATGTTTTAACATCATAGTGATGCTCATCATAAAACATGAGTTGGCAGTGTCCCTTACTCTTTCCTTTATACTAGAAGCATTTGTATTTCTTCTTTAAATGTTTGATAGGATTCATCAGCAAAGCCATTGGGAGTGAAGTTTTCTTTATGGATAGATTTTTAAACTACAAGTTCATTTTATTTTTAATTTATTTTTGTACAGATGTTTCTCATTTTTCTTCCATTGACACCCTCCTCTCTGTTCCCACCCCTCCCTTCACAGTATTGTTGTCTGAGTTCGTTGGTTATATATAAGTTTTGTGGTTTATCCCGCCCTCCCGCCCCCCCTCGCCTCTAGGTTTGTCAGTCTGATTCCTGCTTTTATGTCTCTGGGTCTATTTTGTTCATCAGCTTAGTTTTTTCATTATATTCCACAAATGAGTTCATGTGATAAACTACAAGTTCATTTAAAAAAATGGATATAGATCAGGTTTTTAGTCTTTTCGACTAAGCTTTGGTAGTTTGTGTCTATCAAGTCATTTGTCCTTTTCTACTAAATTTTAAAATGTTATGACATACTGTTGTTCATAACATTCTCATTGTCCTTTAACATTGTTAGGATATGAAGTGATGCCACACTTTGCATTCCCAATATTTGTAACTTGTGTGTTCTCTCTGTCTCAGTGGTTTTCCCCTCATCTGTTTGGCTAATGGTTTATGAATTTGATCCATTTTTTTTTGTAAAAAGCATACAAACAAACCTGCTTTTAATTTTATTAATTTTCTGCACATCTTTTCTTTTCTAGTTTATGGATTTCTTTGTGCTGCATTTTTTCTTTCTTTCTTTTTTTTTTTTTTACTTTTCTATTTTGAAACTTTGACCTTTTTTTAATATAACTTTTTTGCCTTTACTATTATTTTAATTTATTTTTATACTTCTTTTTTATTTTTCAGTTACAGTTGACATTCAATATTATATTAATTTCCCATGTAGAGCATGGTGGTTAGACATAATTATATAACTAACAAAGTGATAATTCTAGTACCCACTTGGCACTACACATAGTTATTACAGTATTACTGACTATATTCCCTAATGCTATACTTTATATCCCTGTGACTATTTTGTAACTACCAACGAATACTTAACTCCTTCACCTTTTTAGTTTTGTTAATCCTCACCTGAGGATATTTTTTTCATTGATTTTTTAGATAGAGTGGAAGGGAGGGAGGGAGAAAGAGAGAGAGAAACCTCGATGTGAGAAAGACACATCGATTGGCTGCCTCCACACGACCCCAAACTGGGGCCGGCAATCTGGGGCTGGGGATCAAACCTGCAACCCAGGTATGTGCCCTTGACCAGGAATCAAACCTGTGACCCTTGAGTCCTCAGGCTGACACTCTAACCGCTGAGCCAAACTGACCAGGGCTTTAATATATCCTTTAATGCTATAAATTTCTAAGAACTGTTGTTTTAACTGTAGTCCACACATTTTGATGTGTGATGTTTTTATTTTATTAATTTCAAAATATTTTATTTCACCTATGATTTTATTTTTTTCTTTAACCTATGCCTTGATCATTTGTGATTTTCCTTTCATATTGTTGTAACTGATTTTTAGTTTAATTTTATTGTGGTTAGAGAACATACTTTGTATCATTTCAACACTCTTGAATTTATTGAGCCTTGTTTTCTGTTGCAGAATATGGTATATTTTGGTGATTTTTTTTTTTTTTTTTTCCAGTGTATGAGTGTTCTGCTTCTGTTGATGGAGTTTTCTATAAATGTTGGTTAGGTCATGTTGGCAATAGTGTTTTTTTGTAAATCTTCTGTATCATTACAGATTTTTTCTCCATTTGTTCTAACAGTTATAGCAATATATCATTGAGAGGAGTTGTTGATATCCCTCGTGATAATTATATATTTGCCTGCTTCTGCTTTCAGTTCAGTCAGTTGTGCTTCATCTACTTTTAAAGCATTTTTCTTAGGTGCATAGACATTTAGGGTTGTTTTGCATCTTTATGTATTGACTCCTTTATTATTATGAAATGCTCCTCTATTTCTGGCAATATTCCTTATTTTCAAGTTTTGTTTTGCTGGTTTGTTTTATCTGATGTTAATGTAGCCACTCTAGATTTCCAAATTTTAATAAGTATTATGTAGAATATATTTTTCTATTCTTTTGCTTAGCCTTTTTTTTTAAATTAAAGTTGGTTTCTTGATATAGCATATATTTGAGTTCTTATCTAATCTGGTAACCTGCCTTTTGCTGAGATATTAGATGGACTATTCACTTAATATGTGTGTATTATCAGCTTTAAATCTGCCACTGTGCTCTTCTTTTTCTTTGCCTCACCAACTCTTCGTTTATTTGTTTTGTTTTGTTTTTTCCTACCTAATTTTGGGTTGCTTTTTTAAAAATTTTCTTTTGGGCTGTATTGAGTACTGTTTTATAGACCAGTTTTGTATTTGTTGATGAAGGTACTGGTTCTCTTTCCCATGAAAATATGTGGAATAAATTGCCCTGTCAGATTACTCTTTTCTCTCTGTGACTTCACGGCAGCCTCAGTCATCATCTGGGAGAAAAGGTATATTGTACAGGGTGGGCAGAAGTAGGTTTATGGTTGTGCGTACATGAAACAATTTATTCTTGTATTATTTATTAATTATTGTGTTATTTTCCATGCAAACAACTGTAAACCTACTTTTGCTCGCCCTGTATATATTTAATCTGTTCTTTTGAAATAAACCTTGAGGCCTGCCCCTCAGTGATTTTATTCCCCTCTTTTTATTTCCTCTCTTAGGAATTAGAAATTAAGAAGATGGCCAAAATTGGTAATAAAGAAGCTTGCAGAGTCTTGGCCAAACAGCTTGTACAACTACGGAAACAAAAAACAAGAACTTTTGCTGTAAGTTCAAAAGTCACTTCTATGTCCACACAGACGAAAGTGATGAATTCCCAGATGAAGATGGCTGGTGCAATGTCCACTACAGCAAAGGTGAGATGAAGCCAGTATCCCTAGATGTGGAGTTTAATCTAAGATAGTTAAATATCAAGATTCAAATCAGATTGAAAAATTCCTGTAATATATGTAGTATAGAATCTGTGTAATTTTTAGCAACATTAGTTATAATATCAGATAATCCAGAGAACTACTTCTAGGATCTTTATTGATTTGTTTTAATATATAATTTCTTGTTTTAAGATATTTCCATTGTCTCAAGGTCATATGTAGCTATTAAATTGACTTATGTTTTTGCTTTTATTTCTTAAACTGTCAGATATGAGGGCTTCTTATTTCATTAAGCTATAAGTTTCTATTACTTTAAAGTAGTAATTTCTTCCAGATTAATTTTTATGTATGTGTCAGGAAAACACATGAATACTATTAGAAGGATTTATCAGTTAATTCTAATAGGAACTTGTGTTTAACTTACAGTCTTTATATTAAAAATGTTTATAATGTAGATCTTAAAGGACTCTGAGCCTTTTGATTGTGTAACAAATAATGAGCTCCTTGATGCATGTGAAATACTATGAGAAACAAGAAGAGATTTAAGACAAAGACGCTCTTCTCATAGATCTTACAGTTCGGTCGTGGGGAGTGTGTTAAGATGTGTCTGAAAAGGGAACTAACTACCCACTTAACATCTGTCTGCTGAGCTTCAGTGAACTGCACAGATCTTTGAATAGAATCATCTGAAAGACTTTGCAGAAGACCGAGGTCTTCAAATATCACTAGATGTTAACTATAGGGAAGGAGGAGTATGACTACAAAGAGCAAAGGGAGAAGAGTCATGGAGGAGAGAAAGGATGAGGTTGATACGAGGAAAATGGTATATTCAATTGATTCTCATTATTTGCAGTAGTAAATGTTCTACAAAGTTGGGAACACTGAATTAGTGAATATCAATTGCTCCAAAGGGAAATACAGGGTTAGGTTCTGGTGAGCCTTTGATTGCAACATTTTTGTCAACCGATGCCTACCTAAATTTGTTTCATGTGTGTTTCTATTGAAAGAACCCATATTTAATTGTTGATTCATTAACACTGAACTCATGGCAGCAGCACTATAACGTATGTCTGAACACAGCTAACTTAACAGTGTGTTTTCTCCAGAAGCATATCACAGCCTTGTTGCACTTAAGAACATTAAATGACACTTCAGTACTACACTTGGGGACCATTTTTAGCAGCAAAATCACCTACAAAGGCACAAGAATGTGACAGTAAATAAAGAGCAAAAAGTGCACTTGTTTATAGTATGAGAGTTGTAACAAGAAGGCAGAGTGCCACCTTGTTTGACCTCAGCTGAAAATGAGCACATTGGTGAATAAAATGTTTGGTGGTCTGCACATGTCCACAAATGAGCACAGAAGCACCACAAGTTTGATTGAGGTTACAACTAAATTTGAGTGAGGAGGCAAATTCAAAAATATGGAACCCCAAAATAATAAAGATTGACTGTAATTGTTTTGTAATTTTCTGCAAGTGGTAGGTTAGGAAAACATACCTAATGTGGTTCTGCCATATACAGATGTCTGAATTGGAATTTTCACTTAAATTTCTTAGAAATGTATTAATTCAGTAAATATTTGTTTCAGTCCTAACAGTAAGAACTGTTACAAGTGATGAGGATACAGTGGAAAACAAAACCAGGCAGGGGCTTTAACCATGGTAGATTACAGTTTGGCTCAGCAGTTAGAGCATTGACCTGCGGACTGAAGAGTCCCAGGTTTGATTCCTGGCTCCCACTGGAGTCATGCAGGAGGCAAACCAATCAATGTGTCTCTCTCACATCCATGTTTCTCTCTCTCTCTCTCCCTCTCCCTTCCTCTCTTCCCCTCTCTCTAAAAATCAATGGAAAAATATCCTCAGGTGAGGATTAACAAAAAAACAAAAAGCAGCCTATTTAAGAGGTAGTTGAGCCCTGGCCAGTTTGGCTCAGCGGTTAGAGCGTTGGCCTGCGGTCCGGAGAGACCCGGGTTCGGTTCCCGCTAAGGGCATGTACTTCGGTTGCGGTTTGTCCCCGGCCCTGGTTGGTCGTGCGGGTGGCAGCCACTCGATGTGTCCCTTCACGTCGATGTTTCTCTCTCTCTCTCCCTTCCTCTCTCTCCCTCCCACTCTATCTGTACAAAAAATGGAAAAATATCCTCGGGTGAGGATAAAATAAAATAAAATAAAAAAATAAAAAAAAAAGAGGTAGTTTAATGCAGTAATTAGGAACCTAAGTTCTGGAGCCAGATTACTTGGGTTCAAAGTTCACTTCCATTTAGTAGCTGTGTGACCAGGTCAAGTTATTTCACCTTTTGTGCTTTTATTCCCCATTTGTAAAATAGAGAAAATGGTAGTACCTAGCACATAAAGATTTGTCAGGTTTAAAGGGTCATTTAACTTTAAATATATATATAAAGTGCTTAGAACAGTGTCTGACAAAGACACACACTAGGTTATATGGGCATTAACTGCTCTGTTGTTATTATTAGTATTATTTACAACAACGATATATGTTGCAAGGAAAGTATTATAATTTATACCAATAAGTATAAAATTTTATGTATACTGAGTAGGATGTAACCAAGGGTATGTATTCTAATCTGAGGTGTCAGGAGCAACTTCTTTAAGAAATTGGTATATGAAGTTAAATCGTAAGTATTGACAGTAAAAGCAAATGGAGAAGAGCATTTCAGGTGAGAGGGAGCATATGCAAAGGTCCTGTGACAGGAGCAAGCATGGCACATTTTAGTAAAGGAAAGATCAGTGTAACTAGAGGGCAGTGGTGCAAAATGAGACTGGCTTATTAAGCAAAGTTCAGTTGTTATTTGGTCTCACAGGCCAATTATGGAATTTGGCTTTTAATACTGAGAATGAGGGGTGTGTAGTAACTCAGAGATTACTTTGGCTGCAGCATTGCATACAACTTGTCTGAGAAAATAATGTATGCTTCACATCTTTGAAACTGATGTTTTATGTTGTATAGTATCCTTTAATGCTGAACTAACTATAAAACACACATTTATATTATATATATTATAGGTACATATAATATTTTATCTATACTAGATGACATTAATCTCTTAATGAAATAAGTTGTGAACATAAAATGTGAAATATTTTTTACATATTTTTGTAAAACTCATTGTTTTCTTTCTTTAAACCATGTTTTAAAATGTGTTAAAGGATTATTAAGTATATATGCTAATGTGTATTCTTTTACTTTAGATAACTAAATTAATGATTTGTAAAAATTAAAATTATCTTTAGTTTGGACATTACCTACCACATAATAGGCAAATATAGTTTTCCCATCTGAATAGCAGTGGATTTTTTATTGACAGTGTTTTTTCATTGCATAATGTTTTGTGCCTACTGTTGATGAGGTTTTTCTACGCCAGTCTTTATTATATAGATGTTAAACAGATGGTTTCCAAATGAATATTTTATTTTTTTCTACAATACCTAACATTTTTATATTTAATTATGGAGAATGTCTGTCTTTCTCAAAGCCTGTGTCTATTTGATGTGATCTCTGAGGACTTATCCATAGGAAAATGTTCATAATTATGTAGCTGACTTTGGTATTTTCATATTTTAAAGACAATGCAGGCAGTTAACAAGAAGGTGGATCCACAAAAGACATTACAGACAATGCAGAATTTCCAGAAGGAAAACATGAAAATGGAAATGACTGAAGAAATGAGTAAGTTTAATAGTTCAAAATGAAATTTACAGTTTTCTTATGTTTAAATTAGCTCTGTTTATTTATTAGCAACCTCATATTCTCATCCATGAAAGCACAAATATTGAAAAAAGAAATGATACAGTACCCTTCGAAATGGTCATCCATATTATAACTCTATTGTATTTTTAAATTGGCAATGTATATGGCTCAAAATTCTATTAATGTTTAACTGAAGGAAAAATGTAAAACATGTTATGCCATATTTCTATGCTGTACTGGCCACAGCTGTTTTACTTTATTGATTAATGGACAAAAACCAACTTGTGAATAAAATAACTCTTTCTGGTATAAATTAGGTAGTTTCAGAGTTGCATTGATTTTTTTTAATAGTATAGTTATTGGAGATAGAGATAATAGAGCTCTTTCATTCTTTTTACCCCCCTCCCAACATTATTTAATATTTAGTTTTCTTTTTTAATATAAACCAGTTACATGTTGTGGTGGAAATATGAAGACTACAGGGAATAAAACATTTTTAAAAATATATCTTCACACTACTCAGATATAGTTACTATTAATGTTGTATGTTTCTTTTCTATATTTTTCCATATCTTATAATAGATCATATTACATGTGCAATTTTGAACTTCATCCAGCTTTTTAAAAATGTCATAGTATAATGTAAGCATGTTCTCATGACCTTAAAAGCTTCTCTGAAGCCTTTTTTAAAAAAATGGCTTTAATACTGTGTAACATCAGTATTAAATAACAGCAACCCTAATTTATTGAGTCATTTTTACAGTTGTCAATAAGATTGTTTTAAAATGTTTACTGTATTTGATGATTCTTTCATAAATGTTTCTGATGTGGCGCGAGAAAACGGGAAGACCACCCGAGCCAAATTAAAGCCAAAAGAGAGCAAAGCTGGCCAGTGACTGATCCCAAGTTCTTGGAGATCGGCCCCAACTTTCAGCTACATTTTTATTTTATAGGGGGCTTGTTACAAACTTCTGCAGCTGGCATTTCTTGTTGGCCTTGGGGGAGAGCAAACAAGTACAGAGGGGAGGCAGTTGGTGATAAGCGGGAGGGAGCGGAGGTGGGAGGGAGCTGAGGCAGGAGGGACCTGCGTCATCTCACATCTGTGGTCAGGGCTGTCCTGCTAGTCACTCTATTTTCTAAGTTCTAAAGGATAACAAATTCACTTAGAGGACAAATTCGCTTAGAGGAGCACCAGGCCAGCTGGTACTTCCTCAGTTTGCCTCTGGAAGCTCCATAGTCAGTCTTTTGTATTATTGAATCAGGGCGAGGTGATATGAGCAGGCCAATACAGTTTCTATTTTATCTTTATCAAAATTTTTTAAGTTTCCTTAGAGTATTAACTTTTATAAGGCTTTTGGTTTTTACTACCAAATTCTTCTCAGGAAGATTATATCAGTCTCTGTTTCTCCAGTAATGAATGAGTAACCATTTATAGCATCTTGGTCAATATTGAATTGTTATTTGCATGATAAGTCTAAGCTGGCATCATTGTTTTGCAAAGATGTTTTCTAATTATTTTACAACTATGTAGGGATATGCCTGTTTAGCTCTGCTAGCATTTTAATTTTACAGCATTTAGTGCATAAATAATACCACATTACATTACCAAGGTTACTAAACTCACCATTGTTCTAGTATTCTATTTCAGATTGTCTATTTTGCTTTTAGGATTTAATGATAATTTGTGTGTATTTTTGATAGTTCAAAAATAGAATGTTTACTTTCAAAAATATGATTTTTGAAACATTAGTGAATTTTTAATGACTGTGAAGAATGTCATTTATATAATGATCACAGTATCTAACATATTCATTTGATTTCCAATATAGCACAGGTTTGAGCAGATCTTACCAGAGGAATTAACTTTTTCATTAAACTATAATGAAGAAAATTAATAAGCTCATACTTAAAACTCGTATCTGTCACAGTTCTTATCTGTATGCTAGTATTTTGTAAGTGAATCTGAAATGATAGTAGTTATTGGTGGTTATTTTTTTCTATAACCTAATAAAATATATTAACATTAGTGTTTTCATCCAAAGATAAACATAAAGTTTAAATGGACATCTTTTTTTAATTAGAGTTTATATTATGCAGTGTTGTTCTAAAACTTGTTCACATTAAAGCTTTGGAAAGAAGATCTTTGAAAAATCTTTATTGTATCCTTGATTAATTTTATTCCACTTTTTCTGAAAGCATTCTTCCCTGTTAACCCTAGTTTGACTCTCTGGTCTTTCTTATCTATCTGAAGGTTCATTTTTTCTGCTTCTGCTTCTTCACTGAGGCCCTTATAAACTCTGACCTGGACTCCCCCATCCTCCCTCTTTCTTCACTACCATTTGAGTATCATACTGCTAAATTATTTTTATAGAAGGTAGAGGTTAAGCTGAGTATGCTGATCGGATTCCTTCAGGGCTTCTTACTGATTACGAAATAAAATCCCCATATCATAGATCAGAAACAGTTTTCAGATCACACCCCTTTATTTTGCCAGTGAGAATACTGAGTTCCAGAGAGGTGATGTGACTTTCCTCAAAAATTGCATAGGTGCAAAATGGCAGAATGAGTTTAACATCCAGATTATTTCTTCAAAGGTGTTATTTCTCTCTCTCTTTTTTGCCTTAAGCTCTTTAGCCTTTTCCAAATTTACTTTATCCTATTGAGCTAACACAAAAAGTCAGATTCTCAAGTCATGTTCATACAAATCAGTGATCTTAAACAATGTCAAGATTTATTAATAATATCAACAATACAAGCAATTAAAATGGACATACAAAACAGTCAGAGGGTTGTGACATCTCAAATAATTCCCGAGGACTTCTCTTATCAGACCCAAACTCTTTGACCCAGAATGATAGGTGATGTGTGTAATGAGGTGTACTTAGCTTATGTTGAAGGCAACATTTAAATTATGAAACATCTTATATTTATACCTCAGGTGGTCACCTACCTTATGTGACATTTTCTAGAGAGTAATGGCTCATAAGCCCATAGATTGTAGGTTTGTCTACTATAGCCATCCTAAACCACGGACATCCTGCTAAGAGCGTTCAGTACACAGGGACTGTCTTCCTAGCAGATACAGGTCTGTTTACCAGGAGCACAACTGGCAGCATATTTACAAGGAGATCAGATTAGGTTACCTGTCTCCTTTCCTTTGAGGCCATCGCCCAATAATGAGGAGAATGATCATAAGCCAGCTGCTTAATTATTTCCCTCACAATCATTTTCTGTTCTTGCACCTTAAACAGTAACCAAACAAAAGAACATACTCTTCCTTACATGTATTCCTATTGCCTTCAAGCATGTCTTTGTGCATTATATTCCTTCTGTCTCTGGTTAAATCCTGTGCATTCTTCAAGGACCACCTCACATGTCACTTCCTCCCAGTTGGATATAATCTCTTCCCTTTTAATAATCATTTCTTTTTCTACTTACTACAGTCTATGTTTTTTTCTTTTCTACATAAATGTAAACTACATAAGGTCTTCATCTTTTCCCATGTCTATCAATTTTATTTGTACCATGTGCCAGGCCCTTAGTTTCTAAGATAAATGAGACATATGCCCAGGCCTTCAGAAACTCCTTTCCCACAGCTCCTAACATAATGCCTTCTATACAGAAGGCTTTCCATAAATATTTTGGGAAGGGAAGGGAGGAAGAGAGGATAGGGTATGGCAGTAATAATCACTGCAGGATTAAATTGGGCATCATTCCTTGGGCAACTTTAATAAATTTAAAATCTTAAACTTTGTTAAAATATTCTATGTACATCTTGAATGAAAACTTAAGAAATGTGAAATGTAATTATAGGTATAAAAAGAGTAAATCATCTCCCAAACATTTACAGGATATTGGATTCTTACATAGTCTTCCATGGTCAGGTTTAACAGCTACCAGCGGAACAGATTCAGTTTGTGAAATCGTGTTTAAAATTTTTAATCCTGTACCTGTGACTATCCTGTAGTTCTTGTTTATTAAAGATGTAATTTAAAAAATCAGAGTAGACTTGTTTTATTATAGGATAATTTGTGTTGAAATGAACATTATTCCAGATTTAATGCCTCAAAAATGTATTCATTCATTTGACAGTGACTTTTCTAATTTGTTGGTTCACCTAAGTTTGTCCTTCTATAATATAACTGTGTGTGTGTGTGTATTTGGCCTGCCTTCTAAAAATGTATGTCTAGCCTGAAATCTGAAAGTAACTTTTTTTTTTCTCTCCATCCTTCCAAAGTCAATGACACACTTGATGACATCTTTGATGGCTCTGATGATGAAGAGGAGAGCCAAGATATTGTGAATCAAGTTCTTGATGAAATTGGAATTGAAATCTCTGGAAAGGTATGAATGTCTTTTTTTCTCAGTTGGAAATACAGGTGTGAGCAAAAGTAGGTTTGCAGTTGTGAGTATGTGAAACAATTTATTCTTATATTACTATTTATTCATTATTGTATTATGTGTTTGTACTACAACTGCAAACCTACTTTTTCAACCCCTACAGTTTCTGACTTTTGTCACTTAATTGTTTTCAGTTGTCCTTTACTATTAGGTGCAAGTTTTTATATATGATAAGTAAAGTAAACCTCTTTGCAGCATATCCATTGTGTCCTACTCCAAATGTTTGATGACACGTCTTTTCTCTTTGCCTCTCTAATGCAGATGGCCAAAGCTCCGTCGGCCGCCCGAAGCTTGCCCTCTGCCTCCACTTCAAAGGCTACCATCTCGGATGAGGAGATTGAACGACAACTCAAAGCTTTAGGAGTAGACTAGTAAAAACAGCAACAATATTTTGCTTATTTATAATTATTTAGTTATGATTATAAACCAGGCATATTGCCAATTTCCTTTACAAAACATTTATTTTGCATAAATGAAGACCATGAGTGAACAGTTGTTTCCTAACCTATGGCTATTTTGAATCTTTTGCCAAAGACTGACAATGATATAAAATGGGAACAGTTTGGATTTTAATTAGAACTATTTAGGAGTGGTGATGTGTAAAAAGTTGACAACTTTTCTGCATGGTGTAGAGAAATTATATTCATTACTTAGTGTAGTTTATATTCCAAATCTTTTTACACTGTGTACAAAAATCTTGTTAAATGCCACTAGGCACCAACTTGAATCTTGTAAAAGTATTAAAAGTATATCATTAATTCTGTATTTGTTGCTTGTCCTTTGTAAGCGATATGTGTTATGAGCACAGGCAATTTAGCTGCCAAATTATTTTTAAATGGTCTAAAAGAAGAATGCTATTCAAACATCTGTCTTAAACAAAACTGCCATGAGCTTTTCTTTTCCTTTTTTCCTTTGGGAGGGCATTCTAGTTGATAACTTCATTACCTTTCAAAATGTGCTTGGAGCGCAGCCAGTGTGGCTCAGTGGTTGAGCGTCGACCCATGCACCAAAGAGGTTGCCGGTTACTGGTCCCCATACACGCCCATATTGTGGGCCCGATCCCCAGTAGGGGGCATGCAGGAGGTGGCCAGTCGATGTTCTCTCTCATTGATGTTTATCTCTCTCTCTTCCTCATCCTCTCTCTCTAAAATCAATAAAGAAAAAAAATTTTAAGTGAATTAAATATATTAGCAAAAACAGACACTGAATTAATAACATTTTATAGTAATAAAATGATATATTTTGGTCTTCCAAGAAGTGAGATTTTTTTCCATGTGAATTATAATTTAATCTGTTTAATTTTGAACTGTATTAATATGTATACTGAACCCTCTACATTGAAGCCATCATTCTCAATTAACACTACCATGACAGTACTCTAGCTAAATTTAAAAATAAACATGAGCATTTTTTTTTTTTTTTTGGTAAATAAACTACAACTTTATCAGAAATTACTGCCTAAATGTGTTAATGTCTTAGCAGTATTTTTAAAGGCAATATTGCTTTGGTATTTAATGTATATATAGATAGTGAGAAGAAGTGAGATGTAGCAGATTATAGAGATAGAATTTAGAATTAGGTTAGTTTTGAAAAATGTTGTATGGGTTCTAGCACATTCCACCATAAAAACCCTGGTGGAGATTACATAGGTGTAACTTGGTTAATTTGTGATGATGGACATTTTGGACAAATATTGACAATACATTTTACAACTAGTATACATGTGCCATATGAATTGGTGGAAAGAATGAAAACCTAAACAATATAATTTATAATCTATAATCCATTTTATAATGATCAAAGGTAAGGTTCCATTAATAGTAGCATTAAATACAGTTACCCTGAACATTGATAAGTCAAAAGATTTTACTGAATTATGGAATGTTAACCTAGAACTGTTTTGATTCTTGGATGTACATAGTAATGGCAACTAACCTTATTTACTTTCTTGTTTACGTGTGGGGGCTTTTGTTTTTAAAAATTATTTTGTAAAAAATCCCAATAAAGATATTGTTTTTACGCTTTTATAAATCTCTTAACTCTATTGTTGGCTTCTGTTAAAATTTTTATGCATATCTGGTAATTTTTCAAAATAATGATTTTTATTATTTTTCTGGAAAGAAAATTTGATATTTCTATTACTTATATTTAAACACAAAAAAAAATGTCTTTTTAAGAATTAGCAGTTGGTATAGGACTGATGTTTGTAAATGGAGTAAGCCTAAGAATTAGGTGGTTTTGTATGAAATTTATCTGATAATCCCATTCCTAGAACTTCCAGGGGAGAAATGTTTTAAAATATAAATTTTAAACAGGTAAGTCTTAATGATTTCTTTTGTTTCAGTTAAGCATGGATGCCGCAAGCAACTTTGGGAACCCAGAGGAGAAAGGAAGTCATTCCGATTTGGCTGCATTTATAAAATGCTTGGTGGCAGTTTTTACAATCACTATAAATTTGTAATGTATCTTTTGCTAAAAATAAAACTTTCTTTTGATCTCTTTAGATTAGGAAACACCACACACACACACTCTTCCACAAACACTGAAAATATTTAACGAGACAAATCCTTCCACCATTAGAGACAGAAAAGTAAAGTCTATGAATGAGTTTGTCAGCCACTTCTACCAGGTAAAATTGAGTGTACCAGTCAGTATAAGCAACAAATAGATCTTTTCATTTTAATGAACTACTCTACTGAGTTACTGGAGATGTGCCGCAGACGGGCTTATGAGAACCTCAGGTCGGAAGGCAGTATGGCTAACGTCAGCTTTTGGCGTTGATCCTGGAAGCATATACACACAGATACTACACAGTAAATTATACTTGTCCTTTAATTGCAGTTTAGGATTCCATATAACATTACTCATTTTCTATTTTTTTAAAAAGATCAATATCATACAGTTCAAAAATATAGTTTCAAAACTTATTAATACAAGTGAGTTAATAGTAAATACCAGTGCATTTCCAGCTAATGTGACTAGCTAAATAAATAATTGCTATTTCAATATTAAATAATGATTTAAAATTATTTTATGGAGAAAAATAGGTTCCCATGCTAGTTGTATCTAAACTTGAAAGAATGACCTTATGGGTAAATGTGTGATAATATATAATGATATATATGTGAAGATTAAGCATATAATACATGCTCGTTTTGTTATATGAAGTCATATAAACATTCCCAGTTGATTTATATTTAAAGTGGAAAAAAGTCTAGATTTATATTGCATTACATAGAGCTTCTATTTGCTAGTTTCAAGGATGTGCATGTGTGTATTTTTATGTGTGCATGTGTGTATGTGCAGCCCACCCTGCCTTTTGCAAACTAAAGAATCCCTTCCCACCCTGGCCAGTTTGGCTCAGCGGTTACAGCATCAGCCTGTGGACCAAGAAGTTCTGGGTTTGATTCTGGCCAAGAGCATGTACCTTGGTTGTGGTTTGTCCGTGGCCCAGTTGGGGTCATGCAAGTGGCAACAAATCAATGTGTCTCTCTCACATCTCTCCCCCCCCCCCCCTGTCTAAAGATAAATGTAAAAATATCCTCAGATGAGGATTAAAAAAGAAGAATCCCTCCTCCATTTAATTTATGTTTGAAACAGGTGGTCTATCCAGAGAAGGACCTTAGACATCTACATAGCTGAATAATTTGGAAGTTTCTCTAGAAAAACCTTTATATGTATATTGTATTTAATACCTCCTGGGTGCTAGATGTGAACTAAAGCATAAATAATCAGGCCCCTGAAAACTTTTTGTTAATATATCAAAGTCTCTAGTCCACTTGATGGTGATTATGTGTGCACAAACATGATCTATATAGACTATCACCTGTGTAATACTTGGTCTTTATTAATATCACAAAAAGTAACAGACTAGATAGTAATTTAATAAGCATTCTAAATATTTCATTTAATTGTTCCCACTTTTGCTATATAAAATAAATTGCATAAACATTGCCAGTAGATTTACACTTAAAATGCAAAACCTGCCACTATTTTGTATTGATATATTACAGTTTGCTTCTACTTGAAAATTTCAAAGAATTACATTCTTACAAGTTAAATAAATTATATTTTTCAGGCTACAGTTCTCTGAATTCAAAAGCTCAATATATCAAACTTTATGAATAATAAATTATAATCTAATTAATTAAACCAAACGCTAGTCTCTGATAGGATCCCAGATGACTTTGTGGGTTAATATTTTAAAAAAATAAATCACGTCTTTAAATTTAGTCACCCCTCAAGTTTGTAGTCATTATTAACAGAACACCCCTTCATTTAACAGTGAACAAGTCATTAGTCGGTGAAATTAAATTAAATTAAAGATTGCATGCCCTCCACAAGCGAATGCTTTCCCGAGCAAGCAGACATCTTCCCCGCGCTGTTGCAGTTTACAGAATAGCAGCTGTGGCTCAAGAATCCATAATGCATATTTTCTATAGCTAAGCATCAAAAAAGTCAAAGTCTAGGAAGAATAAAAAGGTTATAAAGTAATGTTTCTACAAATCTCTATTGCAGCACTTCTTTGGGCATTATGCCTTAAGTATATTAGCTTCAGAGGTGTAACTTCTGATTACAATTTACTCCTAAATGCAATAATTAAATTCTAATGTACCTCTGTCTCCTACTGCAAAACTTGAATTCAAACAGGACATTGGTTAAGGAATCACCTAATTGGATCTTCTCTGGTGATACTCTTTAACCGTGTGACATTACTGACTGAAATGTTAAAAAACTAACATTTGGAAAAGGAACTTTTAAAAGACCTATGTGTACACACTCATGTCTGTGTGTGTCTGTGCACATGTGTGTGTGTTTGTTCGTGTGTGTTTAAATAGAGATAGAGGGAGAGAGAATCATTGTTTTACTACTATTAAATGTACAATGTGGATTCTGAGAATAATTAAAGAAAATAATTAATCAAAATAAATTAAATTTTTAGAATGTAGAAAAGGAAAGCTCCTGCAAAAGTTATTGACATAAAATGATTTTTGAAGCCAACCAAATAACTAGTTCCTATTTTTGTTGGAGAATGGAAAGGAAGGAAAGATAGAAAATTTGCAATTACACAATAGAAAATCTTATCTGCATTCAAGATTTTCCTTGGAAATAGTAAATAAACTCTGATTCAGACTTGTTTTTACCCGTTTTTCTCTCTGCCTCCGGTTGCAAAACCAAACTCTTACTACTTCTTTCTCAAGATTCAGTTCTTCAGCCATCCTCATGATCTCTTGAGAGGAAGGTTTATTCTGCTGTCCAAAGTGTCTCTCCAGAGCACCTTTTGCAGCAATACTGGGGTATGGGGTTGGGTGCAGACGGTGGGGGTGGAAAAACAGGGTGAGATTATGTTTTTGGCAGATCAAAATTGTTAAGCTGAATTTCCTAAATATTAATATGAAAAGAAAACTTAAGGACTCTTAAAACACCTTTAAAACTCTTCAACAAAGATAAGTGTACGATTTGTCATGCTTTTAGATGCTTGCCTTATGCAGGGTACCATTCATTACCAGAGTCAGAAGAAATTAAGTAGAGGAATCCTGACTTTCTATGTTTATTCCACTTTGCACCACAAGAGGGCACTGACTTCCTGAAGGAAAGAAACACTTCTGTAGGCATTTCTTAATGTCCCCCAGAAATCATTTAAGTGATTTACAAGAGATGAAATGTTTAGTGAACAACAAACCAACCTAAACAAAGCCTATATTTTAGCATTTCCTCTGTGAGCCTCACGGAGATTACAAAAAAGATCAATCTTTCTGGTTTAAACTGCAAAAAGTCTAAAATACTGATTGTTAGTTTTGTTATTTTTAATAACACAGATGCCATAGTGCCATAGCAAGACTTATCTAACAGTACAGCAGAAACAGTCACTATTTTTAGAAGTGATTCTTCAGTTTCTGTTTTATTCAAAACGTGTGGAGCAAAAGTGTTCTTCAATTAAGCAATACATAGTATTCCATTAAAAGTTTAAAATTAGTAGCTCTCCACTTCTCACTACTGTTATTAAAATTTGATTTTTAAATGTATTTCGTACGTTTCAATTGACTATACTCACCTTAAATTTATGTTATGTTGTCCCTATGTTACACTAAAAGCTTATTCCAGTAATAAAATATCCTTTTCTTCCTCTAATAACATTTAATATCTCAAAAGCATACCTTATAGTTGTTCTCCGTTTCCTTTTCCTTTCATTTACTCCCACTTTTTCATTGTATAAAGCTGTAATGGGGAAAAGAGGGATAATTATAGTAACCAAGAAAGGTTTAAAAAAACCGCAACTCAGATTTGGATTTCAAATATTCACTGTAAAACAATGCAAAATAAAATCAACATATATTTTTGTTTTAGTTTTTGGCAACCTGTGCCATTTTATATTACAAGCCCTAGATAAAAATGTCAATACAGAAATAAATATTAGCTTTGCAAAGACAATTGTCTATAAATCATATCTCTACTCAGCTTTTGTCAGAACGCTTGCTACATGCTCCAAACCTTGCTCTTTATCCAGCTTTGACATATTACTATGAGTAGATAATTTTATCACATTAAATTGCTCATTTAGCAATTGCTTGTGCTATTCGCTTGGAAGACTGGTGTGTACTAGTATTAGGTTTTAAAAATGATCGCATGTACAAGCACTACGTATAGCTCAAAGGCAAAAAAACCCTGAATGTGTTCAAGAAATTCACTTCACAACTGCACACCTGTGCCATACAACCTCTATTTACCTTCTCAGTGAAGACTTCTACACTTGCATTAGCCTTTCTTTCTTTCTTTCAGTGGGATAAAACAACAGTTATTTTTCATCTCAAAGGAAAAAACAAAACTAAACATGAAACCTCTCGCTTTAGCATTAATATTACTAATGGAAGCCACTGTTTTTAGAAAACATCACAGAACCTTCAGAGATTCAGTTTTAGTACCTCCGACTTGCTCAGCCTCTTCCAGCCATTTGGATAATATTGCTTTTAGTTTGCACGCATTTTTGAAGCTGAGCTGCAGGTTTTCAAATCGGCAGATAGTTGTTTGACTGAATTCTGAGCCGTGCACAGCTGCCAGGGCTTCCCCGACGTTTGTCTGGGTGTATCCTGCGAAAGGACAGTCAAGACCGTTAGCTGCAGCTTTCAAGAAGCGCTCGTTTGGTGCAATAGTGTATACATCCGCGGATCTTTCTTTGTCAGTTGTCCCACGCCGCTTTTAAGCATATGTCTGTTAGCAATTTAGAATTGTTGTGTAAGGTTCCAAGTAAAATTATCAAGTACTTAAAATTATATTCTTTCTAGTTTATTTTTTGGAAGTCAAAATAATTCAGATAAGAACATCTTTCACTTATAATATTTAGACTATTTGGATAAATGTGTTATTAGTTAAAATTTTTTATACTCTTTGTTGTTATTATTAAATATCTGGTCCATATGCTCAAAAGTCTATAGTATAGTAGTTATAATGCATGAAATACATGATACTATATCATAAATATTTTTATCTCAACTGTAAGAGAGAAAAAAAATCAACTATATTGTTGAAGGGTACCAAATGAAACCAAAAATTATGCTTTCTTTCTCTAAACGCATGTTTGTTATGAGACTTTGATCACCTAACATTTTATAAATACCTCCAAGGACATTTATTATATTATTTGGTAATGCTTCTATCTCCTGACAAAAATCCTCATTGACTGTCCCAAACATTTTAGAGCACAAGTTGCGATGAACCATCACTATTGAACATGAAACATTCACAACAATATAAATACCAAACGGCAAACGAATGTTCTAAATTGCCTACTGCCATATTTATTGCATATAGTAACTACATATTAATTCAGGGCCTCAGGCTATATACCTGTATGCATAAAATGGTTACATATGATACCCATCAATATACATAATTACAAGATAACCTGTAGTTCCTTCCACAAGTACTGAGGTTTGAATTATCATTTTCAATCCATTAAAAAAAAAAATCACTGCTTCATGAATTTAAATCAAGGTTAGTTGTTACAGTTATTTTATGCTAAAAACACTTTTAAATAGAAAGTGAGCAAAGACTATGAACAGACAATTCACAGTAATGAAATTACAAATGACTGCCTAACACATGAAAGAACACTTTTGAATCTTCACTCAGAAGAGAAATTTAAAGTGAAACTACTATGAGGTATGACTTTGACCTATTTGATTTGCAAAAATCCAGAAGATTAATTGTGTATTTTTCCTTCAACAACTATATGAGTATTCTATGTGTCCGTCACTGTTGTAAGGGCTGAGGATATGTCATTAAGGAGAAAACAAAAACAAACAAACCAACAACAAACAAAAAACTCCAGCCTTCATGTATATTATTTTCTGAGGAGCGGCACAAGTGACACTCACGATGGCAGTGAAATGTGGTATCACATCTGCACAGGCAAATTTGACCTCTATCAAAATGATAAATACACCTACTCTCGTCAAGCAACCTTGTTTTTAACACTTTTCCTACACATATATTTGTAGAGATACAAAATGACATTTATGAAGTTAATTATTTTAGCATTGTTATTGACAGAATAATATTGAAGACCAAATAAATTTACCATCAGTCGAGGACTTGTTACATAAAGTGTAAAATGAAATATGACAGATCTATTTATTTTTAACTATCTATAACTAATACAGGTCCTCACTGGTGTGGCTCAGTTGGTTGTATCCTATGCACTGAAAGATTGTCGGTTTGCTGCCCCATCAGGGCACATGCCCAGGTTTCAGGTTTGATCCCTGGTATGGGGTATGCAAAAGGCAGCCCAACCATGTTTCTGTCTCTCCCTCTCCCTTTGTCTCTTTTTAAAAAAAATCAGCCCTGGCTGGTTTAGCTCAGTTGTTGGAGCATCGGCCTGCGGACCAGAGAGTCCTGGGTTTGGTTCCCGCTAGGGGCATGTACCAAAAAAATAAATAAATAAAATAAAAATAAATCAATTAAAAATCTCTTAAAATAACTAACATTGAAAGCTTTCCAAAATAGTTAAATAAAAAAATTCTGTATGAAGAAATAAATACATGCATTTGCTTATGTATGCATAAATATCTCTAAAAGGATATACAAGAAACTAACAACACTGACAAACAGGAAAGCAAGCATAAGGGATACATTTTATTTGTATTCTTTTATGCCTTTGAATAATATGAATGTATCATCTATTCAAAAGTTCAAAGAAAATATAGAGAAAATTGGGCACTTCTAAACTAATCTTGAGGAGGTTACGTTCAAAATGAGTGTCATTCATTTAAAAACCTGTTAATTTAGGCTATTAAAAATGTATAAGGAAATAAAGGTTTTTGTAGACTTTTCACACTTGTACTAACTTAAATCTGCTGCAGAGATGTGGAATGAGAACTGTCTTGGACTTCGGAGCAGAAAAGAAGAGAATGAACAGTAATGATCTACAGACCAAGCGCATACCTAACTTAATTCTTCTCACTTTAAATTCATTGGCGAACTTTTCAAGTTCTCGAATTTCTGGAGAATCCATGTCTATTGGCTCTTCAATCAATTTACTTTTCCGCCTGAGTTCCTGCTTGAAGTCCATGGCTGTGGGGTCCTCTGCCAGGAGAGGCTGGTGCATGGGCGGAAAGCCATGACTCAGGGTGTGGTCAGGAAACTTATAGAGACAGGGGGTTAAGCTGCCTGTGAATAAACAAAGAGAGAAAAGGAAAGGACCACTGTTATTTACCCTTCCACCCCAGTTTCTATCCAAGCAGGGGTTTTGCCTGTTAGAGCCACTCGTTCTGCTACAGCTCGTGTTTGTTCTAAAAGGTTAACTGACATTCAGAAGTTTGAAGTCAGAACAGCTTAGTATAACTGTGATTATTTATTTCCCACCTTCCCCAGAGCAGTAAAAACAAAGATAGTGCCACAGGACACCAGCAGGGAGTTGCAAATATTTAAAATAGAAATAGGCAAATTCTCTCAGAAGTGTAAATTTTTTATCATTTTTTTCCTTAAAAGACACCTATTCCAGGGAATCTGAGGTTCAACTCTAAGCAGGATGTATATTTTGATTTCTATTTTCTTAATTCATTGAACAAATCATCTGTGATGTTTGTTATAATCATCAGGTCACATAGTAAAGTGCTGTGCTGGAACATTTAGTTAGCATCAGAAAACTGACCTTACAATAGTTAGAAGCCCGACTGCTTCTAACTTCAAGGGAAATGTTTAACTTCAAGGGGAAATAATTGTCTTTTCAAAAAATTTAACAAAGACAGATAAAAAGAGAATTGTGAAAACATAAACTACATTAATATGGTTTAAATATATTTGAGGAGTGAATAGACATAAATAAAAGGTAATTTTTAAAGTTCTATTTAGAAGTCAGCAACATGATTTTTTGAAAAGTCATTTTTGATAATATTTTTAAGAAGCAAAAATAAGTGACAAGGAAGAGTGCAGTTGTAAATATGACAGCTAATCACTAAGAATAACAAAGCATTGTGTTGATTGAGTTAAATAATAAATCACACACAAAAAATCTAAAATATGTAAAATTTTTTAAATTGCTCCCAGGTTTCATTCTTCATTAGTAGAGAAGAGTTTATCTCAGTTGGGGAACATGGGTGAGAGAATAATACAAGCCAAATTTCCAAACTTTATATTTCTTTTTTCTTCATCAACCCATTACATTTTAATTGTAGATATTTCACTTCAATTTACATTAAATGACACATGTATAACCAAGACATTTTTATAGAAATAAAATATTCAGTAGTTAATTATGTTTCTCATGAGTATAGATAAATTTTTAAACTGAAAATAAATTACTGCAGAATATATGCAAAATCATTCTTGGAAACACTGAATATATATATATATAACATGAGTTTATGTTACCTATAATTTCTTCATAAATACATTTGCAAATCAAAGACATGAGTAATAATGTATTTTGCCAGAATACATAGATCTTAAATTAATATATCAATTTGCAATGAGTAAAAAATAGTGTAAGTCAGCAAATTGTCAGCTTATATTATTTATATGAGAATATGTAATTATAAAGTGGGCCCCTATCCAATAGACTATATTCTTTTTCTGAAACAAAATAAACATACAAATGAGAGATCAAACAAAAAGGCATAAAACAAATTTAGCTGTTTCACAGTTATGAAAAATATTTGAAAGAAACCATTCCTGTCTAGAAAATTTTATGCTACTTTTACAAACCAAATGATCTAGTTTTACTTTGTAAAAAGTAAGTTAATCATCCAATTAATGCTTTAGAGGATGTCAAACTGATCGGACAAGATAAAATAAAATGAAAACAATTGTATCAATGTTTAATTTATTACATACTTAATTTTAAAAAATGTTTACTACTTTTGGGGTTCATTTTTAGTTTTCTATTAGTTTTAGATTTTTGCTAGTTGAAGTAAAAGAAGGACTAATAATATAAAAAGAACACTAATCACGTTTATTTTAGCATCTACTTAATATTTATCTCAATACTTTCCTTTTGTTTAAGCTTTCAGAGTGCTTTCTTATATGTTAAAGAATTTTTACTTTTTTTCATCATTCAGAAATATCAAATGTCACTTAATGTACTTAATGATGAAATACTCTGAGAAATATTGAAAGCAGAGACAAGAAAATCAGGCTGTTGTTTGATTTTGCACATTTAATGTATTTTAGGGTACTTTAGATAACTCGTTTAACCTATGTCAACTTATGTTTACTTTACATAAGTAATTTTTTGCATATTTTTTACATGAGAAGCCACAGATCTGAATTTGTTAGCAATTGTCATCACTCAATCTTTGCTGCGGATCGTAGTCACCCACCGCTGCAAACCTTCTGTGACACTTGGTGCTGTGTTCATTCCACGTGTGTCATTGTCCTACCCTTATATAAACAAATGAGGTAGAAAGAATATGATTATTCCCCCCCTAAGTTAAATTTAGGAAACTTAAGTAAAAAGTTCAGTAACTTTCCTTGGGCGCCACGATGAATTAACTTTGCAGCTGAAACTAGAACTGAAGCCCAACAAACATTCAGTAAACCCCATCGAAACAGTCAGTTTGTCTGTACTCAGGTAAATCAAATTCTTTCTTTTAAAGACTTCTGCAGTTTAAACACCTTTGCGTACATTAAAACCAGTACTTTCAGACAAGACATATTATCATTATTTATTAAAGTATCAAAAGTATCTGGAAAATTTTAAAGGATTTTATACATTATAAATGGTCTGGAAAAATAGATATTTAGAAAATAAATTTGATCCTGTGTTTGTGAAAAGTATATGGGAAATACCATGTTCAAAGGCTGGACATCCAGAAAAAAAAAGGAAAATATATGTGATATGTCTTTATTTTTTATTAAGTGACAGTTTCACAATTATCCACAGGGACACAGTTCTTCTGGAACTAACCCTAAATAGAAATTCATGAGTCATAAGCACAGCCAAATGCTGCAGTTTCTATTATCTGATCCTGTATTTGGGGAGAGTGGAGAGTGATTGATAGGATATGTTTAGCAAGATAGTTTTTAAATCTTTCGAAAGCCTGGATTAGTGAAACAGAGGGAAAAGGAAGGAGATAAAAGATGTGATTCATTTGCAGCAGTGAGTCTCTTATTCAACTTCCCAAACATTCTTAAGGCAAAGTTGTCTATAAGCCTACACAAGCACCCATCTAAATAGCTTGGAAGTGTCCGCATATTCTACACAGCACATCTATCTTTCACATTGCAAATGAATCCACGCCAGGTTGTGGAATTGCTCTGTATGTGTTTGTGTGCTGGAGGTGCATCCCTAGAGCAGGCAATGGGGATGCAGAGGTTGGCTTGCCCTGCAGAGCACCAGCTCAATGTACCGTGCGGGGCAAATTGCTCTCCTGCAGCTTGGGGTCGGACAGATGCCACCTCACACGGCTCGGAGGTCATGAGCTTGAAGCCTTACAGGAACAAACATAGGGAGTAGAGAGACAAAGGAAAATACCCTGCCTTGCTGTAGACATACACTGGGATGTGCATTCTATTTATTTTCTTGTTTTGCCCCGTGCATGACAATATGGAGAAAATCATAAACTTGAACTGTGATCTTTTCTCTTTTGTGTACTGGCAAATCCTATCCATGTACAACAGGGGTCCTCTGCCTGGTTTGTAATTCAGTTTATTTGGAACACAGACATGTCCATTTGTTTATATATTGTCTATGGCTGCTTTCCTACTGCAATCACCAAGTTGAGTAGTTGAGACAGAAACTAACTATAAAATAGGAAAAATACAGCCCTGCCAGTCTGGCTCAGCGTTGGACCATTGGCCTGTGGACAGAAAGGTCTTGGGTTTGATTCTCTGTCAAGGGCATGTACTTGGGTAGCGGGTTCCATCCGGAGGCAACCAATTGATGTGTCTCACATCAATATTCCTCTCTCTCTCTCCCTCCCACTCTATCTTAAAATCAATGGAGAAATATCCTAGAGTGAGGATTAACAAACAAATAAAAATAAAACACGAAAAAATACACCAGGTTACAACTACTGACAAGCCCTTCATAATTCAGAAGCAAAAGATCTTCAGAATTACTCCTTACCTCAGAGTCAACACAACCAGAACAAGTTAGGGGGGAAAAGAAAATGTGGAATGAAGGGATCGGCTCCAAGGTAGGCTATTTCTCCATGTCACCTGGAGCGGGCCCTTCCAGCCATAGTCATCTTTTCTTATTACCTACTTCTCAGTTTTTAAAAAAATCTTCATCTTCTTGGTTGATTCCCAAACCTCAGCTATTTGCTTTCCTCTTAAAATTCAATTTTAAACAGGACTCTCACACCAGGCCTTGGTGTGGCCATTCTATAATATAACCTTGCTGGATGAAACATTCATTACCATGTAGCTGATTTACTCAGTTTCCACGGGCAGTGTGGAGGGGGCGGGCAGGGTGGACAGTCCATTGAGTTTACTTTCTAACTTTCACCCAGCTCAAGAAACGAGAGGACAGAAACAATTCCAGATACCCAAGAGTCAAAGTTTTGAGGGTATTTGCTGTTATTTTGTTTTGTTTTATGATTATCTAGAAGAGATTTTGAATAGCATTTATAATTCAGTGGTTGCTGTTATCTATACTAGAGGCTGTTGAAGTATCTAAAATCTCAGAAGTGAAGAGACAGAAGAAGGAATTCAGCTGCAAGTGTATCTAAAGAGATCAATGAAGAGAAAAACAGATTGGGTTGGTAAAAATTAGCCACAACTCAACTCTAATAGAATTGTGGTACCATGCAACTTAAATATGAAGAAATTAAAACTCAGAGATGTCAAGTGACTCAAGCAAGGCTCATAATTAGTTCGTGGTGTGGAGGATCCATTGCTCCCAATTAGTCCATCTCTTTGTGATGCTCACACCTGGATCATGAAGCACAGTGAATTAATCTGATAATTAAAGTCCTCCCTTCTAACTTGAACAAAATATTGGCTGTAGCTTTTTCCTTTTCAGTGGGTTATTAATTTAATAAAATGCTCAAACTAAATGTAAGCATTGGAGTATAGGTAAAAAGACAACCACATTAAAATAAAGCAATTTCACATCCTTTGAAATATAGTGCTTTCTGTAGCTCCACTTTTATATGGAGTATGTGACAATGAACCTGTCTTTGTTCTTGATGATAAGATGCTTCTGTGGATAGATTGTGTGGAGGTGGATGATTTGATGAACGACTTGAGACTACTCAGAAAATTCAAATGACATAATGAGGTTTCTCTTGTGTGTTTCATACCTTTGCTATCTTATTTCTGAATTCCTGTGTTTTATAACTCAATTTGTATAGCTTCTCTGGGGATGAATGCAGGAGAGTTCAGATTCTCTGACTTTAATCTGCTATACTGCAAAGGCTAACACTGAATCTAGGTCAAAACACTAGCATTCTTACACATTAGAGAGCATATCACATTGTAATGATACTGCTCTCAAAAAATGTTTGAATATAATCTATATGCTTGCTATGAGTTTTCTTTCAGTAACAAACAGATTTGATTTTGTTTTAAGACACAGTGATACCTCCAAATCTTAGGATAACCTTTTGCTTCTGATGTCGCTAACCCAGGTTTCGAATTACTTTAAAGGGCTTTTTCCAGGGGCCTCTCTGGGTTTGCTGAGTGCCTGCCAGGAACCTGTACCAGCACAGCCTGAGCTGCGGAGCCTGTTCGCGCCAGTCCTGGGAACAGGATGCTAGAATAGCAGGCCAGCTGGAAATCCACTAGGCCCACGGGCGCTGGCCTTGATCTGGCAGGAGGAAGGTGACAGCAGAAACCATCTTAAAGAATTTAGTCCATGGCTGATTTTGTCTTCGTGCTAACCTCCATCCGTGGCTGCCTGTTGCTGAGTCTCCAGGGCACACGAAGCTGCTCCTGGCTTCAAGGGAACCATTATAAATGAAAAGTAAAGTCATGCTTCCAAATAAGCAGCATGCAACCATGTGCTTGTTATTCTCTGTCTTCATAATCAAAGCTGGGTGGAGGCCACGAAAGCATTTTGCCTGCACCTCTAGTGGCCAAACGCATATCATTTTAGTATTTTATAATGAAAGTACTTTATCATCAGTGAGGACTGTCCTCATTAACCATGAATACTATTAACTACTAAGTTTCTGAATCATAAATGATTGGTTTTCAAAGGGGAAGAAAAAAATATGGCTTTCCTTATTCCTCAATTATTAAAAAGAGACATTAGGATTTACAGGTAATATTTAAGAACATTATTCTTCATTTTACCATAAAGGTGATGATACTAGTTTATTCAGTAATGCTGCTTCATAGAATGTAAGAGAAGCTCTAAGTAGTTCTGGAATATTTTAAAATTTTAGTGTTTCATTTAGTTTTAAACTGAGAAATTAAAGATTTATAAATTAAATTCTTTGTTCAGTTTTTTTTCAAATGTATAGGCATAAATTCATTTTTGATTCATTTCTACTTTGGATAATAACAAAACACAAGAAAAATATTTTTAATATGTAATTCTTTTATCAAAAGTTTCTCTCTCAGTATAATTTTACCCCCCCCCCCCACACACACACAGCGCTTTAGTAGTTTATTGTCATTCCCTTTCTGATGTAGGAATAAATATAAAAGATAAAAAAAATCTTAAAAAAAATCAGTGCAGCCCTGGCGGGTGCTCAGTGATTAGAGCACCGGCCCGCGGACCAGAGAATTCTGGGTTCAGTTCCCGCTGAGGGCATGTACCTCAGTGGCAGTTTATCCCCAGCCCTGGTTAGGGTTATGTGGGTGGCAACCAGTTGATGTGTCTCTCTCACATCAATGTTTCTCTCTCTAAAATAAATAAAATAATAAAATAAAAAATAAAATGGGTGCACAACAAAATTTAAATCATTAAAATATTAAACCATTAAAATGTTTTTTCTGGCCATATCCTAAAATTAAGTCATGGGTTTTGTGAGGGGTGGATTCCTTTGGTCAGATTTTTCTCTTCCCTAAGAAATATGCTATCAATGTGTCATCCAAGCATCAATAAATTAGTCTTGACCTAGTGATGTTTTATTTATCCAGAAAAGAAACGTATGAATCTTTTTGGTCAAGATTTTCTCAGACTTAGAAAATTTATCTAATTTCCCCAAAACTTAATTTCATATGCAAAGACAATTTCCTTACCTGCCATCACTCCATAAGTCGATGGCTGGTTTCCATAATGACAGGAAGGAACAGAGTAGTGAAGTCCAGTTGCTGTGTTTCCCAACGTTGTCACCGAAAAATATGTAGGCAAATATTTAGAAGTTTGGATCAAAGACAAAATAGACGGGACTGGTAAGAAAATGTATGAGGATTCAAGACACACTCGTTTCATTTCAAAAATACACATTTATGCAATTCTTAAATTTGCATGCCAATAGTTTTCATTTGGGGGAAGTTCTCTGAGTAGGTTAAAACTAGGAGTTCCAATTTGTCAAGTAGTGAGATCATAAGTCATCAAAGTGGACAGCAGTTTTCATGGTCATCTATGCTCTGTGAGGGGGATGGCTGACCAGTCCATGTGGGCCTTGGCTAATAGAGAGTTGTAGAATGCTTGTAGGTTTCATCCAATATAGACATTGCAATAGCCTCTTAAAATTCTTGTATAACAGCTATTGTAAAGTGGTTTTGTTCTGGATGAATGAATAGAGAAATTGACTCTTGAACCGTCTTTATTTTGTTTACTCCCTTAACAAATTTCTTCCATCAAAGAGGAAATGGCAGAACAACGAGGCTACTTTTGGATACAATAATAAAAATCCCACTAAATTTAGAGGTTTGTGAAAACTCCGTGACAACGCATAATGTGTTTATGTTGATGTTGAAACCTTGGGATTGTAGGTTTCTGCATATACACAATCAGTTTCACAATTCTAATGATAAAACTGGTCAAAAAATAAGTTCATTCTTGAGTGGCGATGTCTATAAAGGTTGTGCTTAGTATAAAAATATAAACTTATTCATAAATAGTTACATGTCTCTTGGAATCAGTGTGTATCTGAGAGTAAATTTAAATTACTAAACTCTTTAAAATCAAGCTTTGAACATGAAAAACCAAGATGGCTAAAAGCATGAAATATTGACAGTAAAATCACTAGCAATGTTTCTTCGTGTATTGAATATTCTTGTTCTCCTTCATAACCTGAACATAGTGTTGGCTTTTCAAAAATATAGTATAATCATATCTTCTTGAACAAATATAAGAGATATTTAAAAAGTAGAGAATTTGGATCTTTTAAAAATATTGAGATATGATCTAGTAGTTAAATCCATGAGATCTCTTCAGTAAGTAAAACATATTTACTCTAACTATAGAACAATGTTTAATATTTTAAAGTATCTGCATAAAATTTTACTTTACAATTGACATGTTGAAAAAAACTAAAATCACTTCACATTTTGATTATACATAAAAATCTTGTCATGCATTCCAAAATTAAACAAATAAACATAAAACAAAATTAAATACCCAAGTGCTCTTCAACGCTATCATCATTTAAAATACATTTAGATCATTTGTATTCATTATACATTTTTTTTACTTCATAAAGTTTGCACACATTTGTTTCTCTGATTTTGAGAAGTTGGACAAAAAGGATAGGCTAATTTACTAAATATGTTATTAATTTATTTAAGCATAAATACATTTTAAAAATAAACAAATGGGGTTTCGAGCCTAAACTTGCTAAATCATGACCTCAATTCTAAATTGTATTTTCTTTCTGAAATTATATTTACACACAATAGATTAAACAAATAATGTATTATTCTCCTTATCCTCTATTTATAGAAAGATCTGTTATTAAAAATATACAATCAGCTGTGTGATAGTTTAAATTTTATAGAACATATTTTTGATTAAAATATAATGTTTTCAAAAACATGTTTCATTGCACTTCATTACTATCTTTTAAATTAAATTATGAGACTCTCAGGTAGATGAAAAGAATCTCAACATTAATGACTTTGCCAAAGTCTAGCTATGTAATCTCTATTCCCTAAAATACAGCTGAAGATTAATGTTGAACTTATGTATATATTTGAAATCTGCCTAATTATAAGATAAAACCTAAATCATTTAAACCTGAATATAAATTTATCAACTCAGATTTTGATTTCTAAATGTATAAAATTTACTTTCTATTTAGATTGTTTTCAAAACAAGTGGAAAATGAATACAGCACGTTGCTATTTAATGGAAGACATTTACTCAACTCAAGAGAGCCTATTTATAATTCTACTTTAAAACATTTACTTTGTTGCTATATAGTTAAAGAATAAATTATGCATTAGGCAAAACACACTTATTTGATTGTTTAAGACAATATATTTGAATTTTCATGTTTAATTTTTATTTAAGAAAGTTATATAAGGAAAATATTAAAACTTACTTAGAGATTGAAGTGTTTTCAGAACTCAGTCTTGAGAAAATTTAACTCAGTTTCTGGACTCTAAATGTTATATATTGCTTCTAGTTTTCATTTTTGAGTTTTGAATTATGCTAAAAGTAAGTTCATTAAAATTATTTAGTTAGTTTATTCTTTGAAATCCATTTTTGTTAGTATTGAGAATCATTTAGTTGTGTTTGCTATGAGGTATTTGGCTCTTTTTAGATTAGTAGCAAATGGTAATCTAAAAACCGATAAAATTTTTAAGTTTAAGAAGTTACACCTTTAAAACACTAAATTATTTTAGACTATTTCTTTAGTTTTTCTCTGAATCCATAAATTTTCTATTAAAATGAATGTTGGATTACAAATAGCCAAATTTAATATTTCCCTATATAAACAACAGATCTTTATAATCAAACCAAAAATAATTTAAATTATTACATTTACTAATATTTCTTGAAAAATTTTTAAGACATTTTGACTTCTTCAATATCTTTAATATTTAACTTAGAACATATTTAACTGAAGGGAAAAATAAAAGAAGCAAAGATATTCTAAAGTAACAAGGTTCAGAGCATCCGCTCAGAAATCTTTAGGCCCAGCCACCTATAGCCTGTTATCGGAGTCAGTACCTGTAGACATCACATTGGTGGTGTGGTTGGAAACTGGTAGGCACTCAGCAGCGCTGTGATGCATTATCAGAGGCAGAGTTGCAGAGGACTCCGAATTAAGAGGTATAAAGGTATCAGCCGAAGTAAAAGGTTGGCAACTCATTCCCACGGAGAGTAGAAAAATTAGGAGAATTGTTGCTCCCTAAATTAGAGTTTTATTATATTATTATATTATTATCTCAAAAAGCTGTTTCAAATCTCACTATCTGCATATATACATCAGGAAGGTTCTGAGGCACCAAGAAGGCCCGTACTGGTATTTATACTGCAGGGAAATCCCTTTATACATGTTAATCATCTTTTCCCAGGGGTATTGCTTTGTCAATCTGAACTGCCTTCCTTCTAACTCAAACATAATCCATGACCAAGAGGAAAACTGGTTCTGGGTATAGATTGAGGATACAGGAGAAATCTGAAACTTTCTGACAGCTTCAGTAATTTAGACCTTTTAGAAAGAAATAAAAAACTTTTTAAAAAAGTGTCCCTCAAAGAAATAATGCTACAATAAATTGAAAAAAGGTGTCTTTTTGTTACTAACACATATATAAATGACAAATTTATATATATGAGAGTTTTCCTTTTTTGATAACTTTTCATTAATCTTACAAAATAACAAGAGAACATAGTACATAATTATAAGAAATTATGAATATTTGAGTTTAAATTGAAAGAAGCATAGAAGACTAAATATGGGAATGAATATATAACTACTGATTCACACTTAATGATGCAATTTTGAAAAACTATGAAAACCAATTTAATTTTTATATTATAAATGAAAAAATATTGAATAAAATTATAATAATCTGTTGAGAAGATGAACATGAGTAATAGTATCTCTCCCTTGATTTTGAATTACTCATTAAAAATGAATATTTAGTAAGCTCTAACTAGATGCCAATGAGATTTTAGGCATTTTCTACAGTTATGCCATGTGGATCTCACAGCACTGCGTGAGTTATATGCCATACCATGCTCACTGCACTTGACTCTGCCCAAGCCTCTGCTATTAGTCCTTCTGCTCCAAAGCCTACAGTAACCATGGTAGCACTGGGTGCAAAGTTTGTACACAGAATGTATTGACGTTTTATGAGAATAAAAAAAAAAAAAAAAATGCTACAAACAATTAATTTGAAGATAAATATCAGCATCTAGATTTTACAATAATCATGAATTCAATATATAAATGAATAAATGCAATACTTTAAAAATGTATACTAGGTTTAATAAAGCAAACAGAAGTAATCTAACAGGCATAGATATTACTGACAGCAAATAAATGCTTTATTCAATTTTTTTTTTAATTTTAAATTATGGAATGTTTCAAGATAACTTGGAATTCATTGCTTTGTGCTAATTTAATGTTAATAGTGAGAAGAATGAATTTTCAAAAGAACTTGAAACTTAAATATTTTGTTAATAACCAGTTGATATTTTATAAGAAAAAAGATAAGGTTGGCTAAATCATTAGATATTGCCTCAAAAATATTTATTTTTAAAATGACATATTTTTCCACTTTTTGAAGTTTATTTGTCTTTTCTAATGAGATAAAATTACAGGTAATCAAAAATAATTACCTCACTTTTGCAGAATTCTTATAATTTTCAGACCACATATATATGAAGTATTTTTTCTGTGTATCTATAAAAATAATTTTCTAATAAAACTAAGTACAAATAAGTTGATTGGCACTGAATATTTTTAAAATAAATAAATAATATATAGAGAGAATAGTACTTAAAAATTGCCACTAAGAATTTTACTAATATCATTTAGTCATTGGAATATGTTGGTAAAGTTTATCAACCAAATGATAGATAATGAAGAATAGCGTAAAACTGCCTGCAACAGAACAGAAAACTTTCCCAGTGGATTGCCATGCTACCTAATAATTTTCTTACTAATAGTTTTATTTTTTTAACTCTTTGTGCTGTAAAATGCAAACCAGAATGTACAGTTAAAATTGTGTAAAGTCAGGAAATAGATGTTCCCATTATAGTCCTCTCACTTAGTACCATAATCTAGTAACTTATCAATTTTAAAATCAACTTTTTATAAATAGTTATAATTTTATATAATATTGAATTTTATAGATCTATTACATTTTAACCAGTTCTTTGTTGTTGAGTGTTTGTATTTCTTTCTGCGTTTCACTTTTATAAATAACAACGCAATTAATTTTTTTGTCCAAAATGTTTTCTTTTTACACAATATATTTTAACCATATAGCTATTTTGGATTGTTTTGAATAAATATATCTCCTTATTCTTAGAACAAGGATTATTGAATTTGTCTTATGAGATTTTTAAAGTTCTTAAAACCATTCCCATTTTTTTTTTTTTTTACTTTTAAAGACCCTTTTTAGAGGAGTTCTAGGTTCACAATAAAATAGAGCCCAAAGTGCAGAGTTCCTGTGTATCATCGGCCCACACATGCACAGTCCTCACTGTCAACATTGCCCACCAGAATGGCACCTTTGTTACAACTGATGAATGTACCTTTACACATATTATTACCTAAAGTCCAAAGTTTGCATTCGAGTTCACTCTTGTACATTCAATGGGTTTTAACAAATGTATTACGACTGTATCCACCATTGTAATTTCATACAGAATAGTTTCACTGCCCTGAAATTTCTCAGTATTTTATCTGTTTTATCTCCTAATTTCTGGCACTGATGATCTTTTAGCTGTCTCCATGGCTTTCCCTTTTTCAGAATGTTATATACTTGGAAACTTACAGTATGTGGCCTTTTCAGATTTGTTTGTTCCTCTTAGTAATATGCCTTTAAGGTTTCTGTATTATTTCATGGCTTGGTAGCTTATTTCTTTGTATTGCTGGATAATATTCCACTGTCAGGATGTACCACAGTTTATTCATCCACCTACTGAAAGACATCTTGTTGCTTTCATGCCTTGGTAATTATGAATAAGGCTGTCAAAAAGATTTGTGTGCAGATTTTTCTGTAGGCATGTTTTTAAGTTTTTTGGATAAATACCAAGGTTTTCACTTGCTGGATCATCTGATATGACTTTGTTTAGTTTTGTAAGAAACTGCCAAACTGTATTACAAAGTGGCTGTACCCTTCTGTATTCCACCAGCAATGAATGAGAGTTTCTATTGTTCCACATCCTCATCAGCATTTGGTGTTGTCATCGTTTTGGGTTTTAGCCATTCTAATAGGTATACAGTGTTACCTCGTTATTGTTTTAACTCTAACTCCCTGATGGCACGTGACGGCCAGCACTTTTCATATGTTTGTTTTTTTAACCATCTTTTGTGTGTGTGTGTGAGGTTTCTGTTCAGATTGTTTTCCCATTATTGGGTTGGTTGCTAGTTTTCTTATCACTGAGTTTTAAATTATTTGTATATTTTGGATAACAATCCATTATCAGTTATGTCTTCTGCAAATATTTTCTCTAAGTCTGTGGCTTATCTTCCAAATTGCTTTTTCAAATAATTTGCTCTATCATGATTTGGTTTAAAATATCAGAAATAAGTTGAGCAGAAAACAGTTGTTTATCTTTAGGAAATATAGGGGTTTCTTGGAATTCACAGACAAAAAAGGTCAGGCCACAGGCAGAGACTGAATGAAAAATGGAAAGCCATTTGCCCATCTCTGACTCTCTTACTCCTTCTCCCTGTATCTCTCACTTCTCACACTTTCTATAAAACAGCCTGGCTGGGTCTCTATCTATGCCACCTCACAGATCTTCAGATTACACCTTGAGCTTTCAGCAGGCAAAGAGATTACTTTACTGCTTCTCAATCTACATTTATGAGAGAAACATTCTGATTGGCTATGGCTATTCACTGGCTGTGGCTATTGGTGTGTTCCAAAGTGGTTCCTGTGCCCACACTTGTAAATGAATTGATTTGCACTGGAAGCATTTAGGCATTTGTACACCGTGAGAGATTATCTGGGAAGACACCCCTAAAATGCGATTGATGCTGTTCTACCATTTTACAATAGCACCAGTAGAGTAAAATTGACTTTTTGTTTTTTGTATTGCAATGTCAGTAATTAAGTCTAAATACTAAGGCTTTATCAGTCTGATAAGACAATAGCACTTATTAATTCAATTTCCATTTTTGATTGCTAATGTACTATATTTTATGTCTACATTAGTTATTTATACTTCATTAATTAACAGATAGCATATGTTTTCTTTTATTTAACCCTTCATTTTTATTATCAATTTGTGTTTTTTAAATATATTGAATATATTCATTTTCTCTGTTTTTATAATTTTATGATTAAAAATTTTCTAATTTCTTGCTTGTATTTTAAACGTATATTGGACATTGACACACATATTTTATGCATGAGCTAAATACTTTGATGTTTTATTTTGTGCATTTCTTAATGATTTTTAGCTTTAAAATTCTTTCTCATCCAGTATTTTGTCTGTTTGTTTGTTTTATTTTACTTATTGTTATTTTGGAACCTTAAAAATATCCTCTTGAGATTTTAGTCTGCCACATTCATTATGTTTCTAGAGTTTATTTATAATTGCTTAAATACTTATAAAAATGGCAGCACAATCTGAAAACTATTAGATAAATAGAAAAAAAATCTATTTCAGTTTCAGATAACAAAAGAAAATACAGCAGAAGTCTTGGTCAGGAGTATTTACCAGTCTGGTTCATTCACTGTCCCTCCTCTTTAACTAAGCAAAGGATAATTTATTTTAAATGCACTGTTTGAGTTTTAACAGAATAATTACATTTTAAGAAAATGTGTAAACCCAGAAAAAATACTATTAAGCTTTAAAAAATAATATTCAAATCTATTTATTTCCACATCTGTGTTTTCTCATTTTTCTACATTTTTGCCTGAGTTGAATAATACAGCCTAATGGTTCAGTATATAGCTAGTTTCTGGAGCTGAATTGTTACACCTTAATAGCTATGTACTGATTGGCAAGTAACTTCACTTTTTAGTGTTTCTGTTAATTTAATCTGTGAAATGGAGATAATACTGATACTTGTTTTATTTAGAAAATGTTTGGCATGTAATAAATTCTTAATAAATGTTAGCAATTATTAATAAGTGAATGTTTACAATAATGCATGTTTATGACTATCAAGTCAATATGCTTTATGGGTATTATTTCATTTGATCCTCCCATTAATCCAGTGAGGTAGGTACCATTTTATAGACTAGAAAACTGAGTCATAGAGAGGTTAAAGACATACCAAAAGCCATACAGTAAGTAGTAGAGCTTGTG